TTCGGTTGACTCTGATCTTGTTCCATTTAGATTTTGATTGGCTTTTAAAATTCATTTGTGGTGTTTATGTTACTTTAATACAACCGCTGGACTAAAGTCAACTTCCTTGTGCATCCTGTACATTCTCATCATTTCCATTGTAAAAAGTGAGGGCAGAATTGAGTAATGTATCATACAAAACCAAACAGACTCATGAACTGCTGTTTGCGTAGTGATTCTTTCTCTAACATGAAGTTTTATAAACACAGTGTGTTTATAAAAACAGAATTAAAACTTGATTTCCAAATCAAAAGGATCAGATACAAGAGGGCCTAATTTATTCCTCACATTTTTAATTCCTAAAATGTTTAGTAGTATTTTTTGTTAAAATTGGTTTTAGGGATTCAGGGATGGTTTTTATCCTTAGCCTTCTGTTTTGCAGAATTCTGACCATTTTAACTGCTTCATAGTGATTTTCTGTTTGTATCTTTGTGGGGAAAGGAAGTAGAAAACATTCCGTGTTGGTGACTTCCACTTTTTGTCAGTTTCATTAAGTTCCTGGCCTCTGCATCTTGAGATGGAAGAAATCTTTTTCTTAAATCTGAGCACTTGTGTAAATGCACTGATCAGCACAAAGTAAAAAATGTTAGAAAAACTCCTTGTGGACCAAGCATGTGCTGATAGAGTGATGAAGCAACATTATCAAAAGTGAGGCTCTTTGATCTCTAGATGAAGTGATTCGGTGAAATTCTTGATATGCCATTCTTAAATGTCACCATCTCAGTCTGTTGTGAGTGGTGAAGCATAAAAAAGGAACACTCAGGATTCTCTGTTGAGGATAAAATCACCCACCTGCCCTGATCAAGGTGGGCACTCAGAATTCATTAAAATATCACAGTCCTTAATAGACTCCTATGTACAGGGCAAAGCTACATTGATGCTTGCAGTGGGGGATTTAAAGCCAAAATTTGGCTTTCAGGGATCAAATATGAATTCACTGAAAAAGACTCAGCAGTTAACATGATGTGATTTAAGGGGAATTTGATCCACCTGACTCCTTAATGAAGGATAATTGTCTTTTTCAGCTGTCATATGTCTTAGAGATGCCTCTTGTCATTGTCATTTTTGAAAGCCAAGCAAATAGGAGACTGATTTGTCTGAAGTCATAGGAAAGTGATTGGTGGGGAGGAACTTCAAGACTTTTGGAGTTGCTGGACCTGTCATGTTCAGGGGAACAAAGGAGGCTCAAAAAGAGCCTTTGTGAAGATGGATGGGATTTTTTCTTCAGTTCTATGTACAGTCTGCCTCCTGATAGTGTAATTATTTTGTCAGATCTCAAAATTTTGTCATAACTATTGCAATATCAGGTGGTTTCTGTACAGCTTTTATTTTAGGAGAGGAGTGCAGGAGTTTAGTTTTCCTCGTTCACTGACCCCATCAAAGTGTTCCTGAGCTGCTTTAGTTAATACCAACAGGGAAGTGGGGAGACTGTGATAAACGGTTCCACTCAATTGCCCACACATGGGTGTCTGGTGCTGTCTGAGATGCCTGAGTTTTCCAAAATACCCTCATGGGTTGACAGACACGAAGCAGGGCCTGTAGCAAACCCACCCTATTCTTGACTGGCTGCTGGTCCTATGGCTGCTTAAATAGCACTCATCCCATATGGATGAGTAACTGAATCATGTGCACATTTTCTGAAGAGAGTTTCTGTGTGACTTGAAACAGTGTCTCACAGCTAGAAAATATTAATCCTAACAGTAAATGAACCCGTAATGCATTTATTTATTTTTTTAAATAACTTTTTTTCTCTCTTTTTTTTTTTTTTCAAGCCAGTGCACCGAATGTATTAAGACTGCCTAATGATTTCTGATTGTATGTAATACTGAGCAAGTCTGAGAGGTGGGAAAAAAAAACCACAGGTTTTTTGTTGTATGGTGAAAATAAGCTGAAGGAAGTCTCTCTGACAGAGACAAGTTTTGGTCAAATCACCTTTTCTGCATCTCGTAACTGATGGAAAGACACAACATTTCACTTACCACTTTTTCTTTTAACTAATTTGCTTTTGGCACACGTAAACAGCACACCGTAAAGAGACATACATTTTATGCCTGCCTAATGAATCTACAGGTAAAATGCTGGCAAAATAACTTACTGATGTGGTAAGAGCAAGCAAGAGATACCGTAAATGTGAAGTAAAATTCCATAAGCTAAAATATACTGTTTATCTCTGAAAGAAAAAAATGTTTACTGAGAGATAAGTTACTGACAGTGAAGGTTAAAGAGGACTACTTAAAGATAACTGAGTGCTAAAATTTCTCATTGATTGTATTATACTTTTGCAAAGAGGGAATTGTTAAATCTGTAGTGTATCCTAAACTAATTCATGGACAGCCTTGATATTTTTAATTTATCCTCTTTTTTTTAACTATTTGTTCAGAGAAGATGGGGAGTTGAGAGTTACCTAAAACACACACAGATTACTTGTTCAAAGGATCTTTCTGCTCTCAATAGATGAATAACTGAGCGTAATTTTTCACTAAGTGAAGTACACTGGACAAAAACCACTAACTAAAGAAACAGAGATGTGTATGTATTTAAAGACTTATTATATGGAAGTACTTTAATATGCAGCAATGAATGAACACCAGGCACAAGAGGTACGCTAAGATGGAGTCTTACTGTGCATCCGAAATACTTCATAAACATGGGAATTATATCACACAAATGAGAGGTTTATATGAATTTGTAGATTCTTGATTTTGGTTTACCTTGGCAAGATTTTTTTTTCAGTTTAAAACAATAGTCTCCTGTTATTGCTTTCTCATGTACTTGGGTAACCCCAGGGCTATGGTAACCTTGTAATGTCACAAAGGAATTATTACAATCCAAATCATGAGTTTGACCAAACTGCATCATTCCACTCTCATGACACAAAAGTTACCATGAATGTGTCTTAATAAATCACCTAATGCATTTTTAAATCTGTCTCACATGGCCAGAATTAAAGAATTGGACAGTATAGTTAAAGGAGCAAAATAACTGCAAAGTATGATTGAACCTAGGCCTCAATTTATTGCAGTCTGCTATTGTATTGTATTTTATACATTATATTGTAATGTCATCACGTTGTTGTGTTGTGTTACATTATATTCAAATTTGAAGTTATCCAAGTAGCTATGTGCTAGTGAGAAACATTACTAAATTATCCTAGTTACATGAGTCTCTTGTTTACTTCCTTCTTTGTCAAGCCCTTTCCTAACTATGGACACTAAGGATCACTAAGGATCAAAGAATCGGGCCTATTGAAGTTCCTAGGAATATTATTCAGGAATCCTTAATGAAGCCTGGAGTCTTAACTGCAGGAATTTAGAGTCAGCTACTTCGTATCCATACACTAGGTGCTTCAGAAATCCCATCAGGCACTTGGCTACATGTTCTGACACCTGAATTCCCATGGAGGTGACTCCTGCTATTTTTAGAAGTGGGTACTTCATCAGTTTGACCAAGTTAATTATTTGATTCTTTAGGTTTCTGTCATAGCTGAAGCATTAACTGCTGTTATGAAAATTCATGACCAATTAACTTCTTTATTGACCACTGTTACCTGTTCAGCCTGAACTTCTGCAGCACACCTTGTCCCCATCTTTGACCAATTTGAGGTATATCTTGCCTTCAACTTGAGTTTCACCTCTTTAAACCTGTCTCTATTATTTATATTCCTATAAGCAGATTCTCACAGTAGCACAAGAATCTCATGAACTATTACTTCAGTAGTATCTGTTGTTTTAAAAAAGTTGTTAAAAGAAGCACTTTTTCTTTGAAAATATATTGTATCAGTGAAGAAAAACAAAACAAAATCAAAACCAAAACACAAACAAACAAAAAAACTCGTAACACACAAAAAAAACCCCAAAACACCAGCATGAAGGTTTGATTGATTTGTTTTTAATTGAAAGAAGAATGTGGTTTTCATGAAATAAGTAATCACAGTGCACTGCTCTATTTTCCAAACTGCGCCAAGGGAAAGAAAGAATCAGAGCAGATACACTGTGGATCTTCTATATTATTTGTAGTATTAGCAAACCTTTCAGTTGCAGATTTGAAGTGTCATTAAACGACCTTACCTAACAACATTGTTTGCCACATCCCACTGTAAGCCATAGAATTTGTTTGTGGACTCTTCATGTTCTTGTAGAAGATTACTGAAGCATTACTTGCTCTTATGTCTTACCATTAAACTAGTCCCTAAGGGAGAAGAAATGTCAGCAGTTGAGGTAGACAGATATGAAATACACAGTCTATACTCAGTGTAAGCTATTTTTTAAAGTGGTACATAGTGGAAGTTACATGTCTAGGGTGTACAGCAGCAGAGGTATGCACATCAACCCATCTTTCTCATCTGCAACTCCAATATTTTGATTTTTTGTGTACTGTGGATATTACAGTCAGCTTCTAATATAAACTGTGCATATATAGTCAACGTGGTTACAGTGGAAAGTAAGTGTTCTTAGTAGCTGTTCAGTGATACCGTTTCTCAGTATGCAATCATCTGTCATTTATCTGGCATATATAAAATACCAGCTTAATTTGATAAATTTTTTCTTATTAAATAGTTACACGAACAGCAAAACTTATAAAAGTTAAAAGTATGTTTTAAGTAAAATAAATAGGAAACTGAAAACAATTGTTTGTATCCTTAGAAAGCTTTGGTTAGCCATGTTTGGAATGTGATTTAGCAAATGCAAACATCTTTCCATCGGTGCTCAGGGGCAGTTTGGATGGGGCCTTGAGCAACCTGGTCTAGTGGGAGGTGTGTCTGCCCATGACAGGAGAGTTAGAACTAGACAATCTATAAGGTCCCTTCCAACCCAAACCATTCTATGATTCTGTGATTTTCAACTTATTTACATTAATGGCAGTGCAGACTGGGACATTTTGCTAGGACTGTAAATTGTACTTTATAGTAATATTTTGTTTTGTTAAAGTATTGTTAATAGTAATCTTTGGTTACAGGCAGTTTGCACCGTGCATCCAGTGTTCCAGAGCGTGTCTATAACATGGGGATTACTGAAAATGATTTTGCACCAAGAACTCCCTATGGTTTCTCATATTATCAGTCAAACCAGGTGAGGAAAAGAAGACAATACATAGAGTTAAATATAGTATCACATACATAGTTAATGAATTTTGTTATCACAAATAATAGAACATAGATGGTGTTTCAGAGTTTGCTTGCTTGCTTGTTAAAGCCTGATTTCTAGAAAATGAGGTTTTTACAACTGAGATCTCTAATGTTTTCCCCCTTTCCAATGACTTCTGCAGTAGCTGAATTCAGCTTCATTCTACAGACAAGCTTTTTGCAATCCTGTTGGTTTTGCGAGAATTGATGTCAGGGTAGAAAATGGAAAACCACCTTACCAAGGCAAAAGCCATGACAAGTCAGATCTGTATTGGTCTCCCCAGGTAGCAGGTCAGTCAAAGCAGTGGGGGGCTGTGCTGCTGCTCACCCAGCCAAACAGTTGGAGGTTGCTAGAGGAAATCCAGTGATCCTGCAGGGTAACAAATTATATAGGTAGGAACTAGAAATGTGGTGAAGGAGGTTAGGGAATTAAGCATACAAAACTACAGGGATGCAGATTGCATTGATTTCATGGTCATGAGTGTTCCTTAGTATTCAAAATAATCCTGTTGTAACCAGTTTTAACTTTGCAAGAATTTCAGCAGTTCAGTCATTGCGATATAATGGTGTTTCTAGTCTGTCTGATAATAAATTCACTTGTTTTTTTGACCAGCTTTTCCTGGGTTCATGGCCTCAATGCTAAGATAAATAATTGTTTTTCTGCAGGGTTTGTGACTTAGCTCATAACCTGTTTGATGGGGTGACTTGAAAATCAACACATAGTTCAACAGCAACACTGCTGCATGATCAGCATTAGTAAACTGAAACCAATTCAACTTGGGAACAGAAATATTTATTTTGTAAATAGATGTATACATAGGGGGCAATTCTTTCTTAATTTTAGATGACACAAGAATGGCTTATTCTCATTAAAGGAAATAGCTCAGTTTCTGGCCAGTTAATGAAGCAGCTCCTGCTCTCTATGGGTAGAGTTAGAAACATTCACCTAAATACATTGCCTTTTCTGCCCTCCTATCCTCTGTTCTCATCTACCATCCAGTTCATAATATTTGTTGTAAATCTCTTCTTTCTAGAAGACAGCATCAAGAGGAAAACTGGAGGTGATATAGAAACCAGAAGAAAATACTATTTTTCCAGGCAAGGGTTGAAAAAAAAACAAAAAACCCACAACAAATAAAAAACACCAAAGAGTGAGAGAAAACCAGAAAAAGTCACAAGGTCTACTATTTCACAAAAGCATTAATTTCCTTATTCCTGGACAGAAGACAAAGATATCCTTGCATAGTTTCTGTAGAATAAACAGATCTTTACTCTGTTTGTGAGTCAATTATCACGCTCAATAACTCCTCAACAGGAAAGTGAAGGGATTTCAGTCTGGCCACTATCTGCTAAGCACTGTTCCTTCAGTTAAAAACTTGTGTAAGCATCTCAGTTTTCCTTAAAAAATGCCTTTAGTATTACAAAACTTTATTACAACATGGAAATAGAATATGTGGAGCTTTGATTATGGCTGGGTGCCGCTATGCTTACTGATTAAAAAAAAACCCAAACCCAGGCCGTGGCTCCTCTATTTCAAAGCCAGATAGTCTTCCCAAGCTGATTTAATTCTGGAGGGTCTTGAAAAGAGTATGATGGCAAATTTAGAGCATAAGAAAAAGGTAGGAAAACTGGAGAGACTCCAAATGACACCTAAACAGTAAGAATCTTGAAGACAGAGCCTACAAAGAAAGGTTGAAGGGAAGTGGGTTTGCTGAGTTTAGAAAAGAAAATTATAAACCAAGGTGGTAATCCATTGCCATCCATGCCTGCCTGGGGCAGGAAAGGAAAAATAATCTGTAGAATTAAGGAAAGCATTCAGATGGTCAAACGGTCATTTTTATTTCCTTCGAATGTCATGTAATCTTCATTTTTAAGAGGTTAGACTAACAGGGAAGATCCTGCCACAGAGTGGAGGCCTAAATAACCTTCTATCAATAAGGTTAATAGCAGTATGAAGACACTTTGGTATATTACTTTAACACCTGACTGATTTTCTTCTGTCTGTTGGACAGTCTTGAATTTTATTTAAATAGCAGATGTGGGTGTTGATCCCCAAGGAGTTTCAAACTGAAGCTAAAATCTCCATTAATAAACAAACTGTGCATGCCTATTTTGAGTTAGTAACAGAAGACTAGATGCTTAGACTTTGTCTCCTGATGTTTAAACTACCACTTCTTACCTTCATCAGGCAGGTACAAAGAAGTGTTGCAGAATCCCATTTCTTATACAGTTTTGGTGATACTCACCTTTTGTTTTCTGATTCTGATAGCAGACCTCCAAATTTTTATCTTTACTTTTTTGGTTTGATTCTTTGCTATTAATCTTAAATGCTGTGATCTTATGGTGATTCCTGTTCTTTTATGCACCCTTGAACAGGTGGCCTCACCATCTTCTTATACAAATGGCTGGGGGACAAGGATTACTTACAGGACAATGGAAGAGAGAGCTCAAAGACAGCCTCTGAAGAGACTAGAGGTTTCACCCCAACGAGGTCCTGAAAGATTGGCATATGTGTCCAATGATTTTCACTATGACGGAGGAATTTCAACTGGATTCTCCATGAGATACGGAGATAGCAGGAGATCCAGCGGGACTGTCCCACCAAGATACGCTCGGTCTGAGATTGTTGGTTACACTCTTCGTGATTCAGTGAACAGGGGACGTTCTTTTAAGAGACAATCCCACATGGGGGCTGTTAATGATAGTGTCTTTGATGGTGTCTACCCCAGCCCTGCTGTACCTCTGTACCATCAAGCAGGCAACAGTCGCAGTATGACCAACCTTTTGGAAAAGGAAAACTTTCTGACCTCTGGCAATGCAATGGGACAAGTGAGATCACCAATTGCTTCCCATTTGAGGTCTCAGAACCAGCAATCTGTGAGGTCCAGCTGGTACCAGACTACTTTCAGAAACACACAGAATAGGAGGGAAGCTTCCCAGCCAGCTTCAATAGCCAGTGTTGCCACAGAAACAGATGGGAAGAGGATGGCTTTGACAGCTGCTACGGCAGCAGCAGGGAGGAATGGTTTCCTGCAGAGTGAACAAGTCACCGTCAATGGATCTCAGCTAGGGTAAGCACAATGCAGGACCTGCTTTGGTTCAGGGGTGTCTCAGCTGAAAGGAACCTC